CCTCTGGGGAAGCCTGAACCCCTCTGCAGTATCTCTGGGCCGGTGAGGGGCTAGGAGTTGACCTGCTGTTCCATCCTGTGTGTGGGGGGTCCCCCAGCGAGTTGTGGCCAAGATAGCACTGTGAGGTGCTTCGTGACTTTGGAGGAGTCAGTCTCTCTCTGGGCCTCAGTTTTCTCATCTGCAAAATGGAACTTAATCAATGAATGCCTTTTTAAGCCTGGACTTTCTCTGTGGGTCCTTGGTCACTGGGCTGTAGGGAGGCCCCTAGACAAGGCATCTTGGCAAAGTCTGAGTGAATGGCTTGGGCCGTTCAACCTCTATTCACATACTTCCAGGGATGAGGAGCTCATTACCTCATTACCAAGGTAGACCTTTTTTTTTTTTTTTGAGATGGAGTCTCCCTCTGTCACCCAGGCTGCAGTGCAATGGGATGATCTTGGTTTACTGCAATCTCTACCTCTCAGGTTCAAGCAATTCTTATGCCTCAGCCTCACGAGTAGCTGGGATTACAGGCACCTACCACCAGGCCTCGCTAATTTTTTTTTGTATTTTTAGTAGAGACGGGCTTTCACCATGTTGGTCAGGTTGGTCTCAAACTCCCGACCTCAGGTGACCCCCTGGCTCCAGCCTCCCAAAGTACTGGGATTACAGGCATAAGCCACCACAACTGGCCTTTTCTTTTTTTTTTTTTTCTGAGACAGGGTCTCACTCTGTCACCCAGACTGGAGTGCAGTGGTGCGATCTTTGCTCCCTGCAACCTCTGCCCCCTAGGCTCAAGCGATTGTCCTGCCTTAGCCTTCCAAGTAGCTGGGATTACAGGTGTGCACCACTACACCCGGCTAATTTTTGTATTTTTAGTAGAGATGGGATTTCACTATATCGGCCAGGCTAGTCTCAAACTCCTGACCTCAAATGATTCACCTGTCTCGGCCTCCCAAAGTGCTGGGATTATAGGCATGAGCCACCATGCCTGTTTCTATTTTTATTTTTTATGAGTATACAGAATAGAAAAATCTTTGTCACAGCACACTGGGCTTTGCCTCCCCATAGCTTTGCCCATAGATCCTGCTTCTGGGACCTAAGGAGCAGGCTGAGCCCTTGGCCCAAGACAGGCTACAGGGCCATACACAGAGCTCTTGTCTCTGGCCTGATCCTAAACTCACCAGCACTAGCTAGGACATCAAGTGCCAAGGGCTTATTCAGGACTCACTGGGTGCTCAGTGTGTCACCATTAAGGAAGAAGACTGGCCAGTCCCTGTACTCACTCATTCAGTCATTCCCTCACTACGAACCTCATATGAGATGAGCACCTTTTTCAGAGCAGGGGCCTTGTTGAGACCGGGCACGCAAAGGTCACTGGAGCACAGCCGCTTCCCTGGAGCTCCCAGTGTGCAGGGGAGGCAGATGGAACATCGTTTCAATGCACAGTGAGAAGTTCTATGCAATAATGGGCTCTGACACACAGATGCTTTGTAATACCTTTTTTTGTTGTTAAGACAGAGTCTTGCTCTGTCACCCAGGCTGGAGTGCAATGGTGTGATCTTGGCTCACTACAACCTTCACCTCCCAGGTTCAAGCGATTCTCCTGCCTCAGCCTCCCAAGTAGTTGGAATTACAGGCAAGTGCCACCATGCCCGGCTAATTTTTGTATTTTTAGTAGAGATGGGGTTTCACCATGTTGGCCAAGCTGGTCTTGAACTTTTGGCTTCAAGTGATCTGCCTGCCTCAGCCTCCTAAAGTGCTGGGATTACAGATGTGAGCCACCCTGCCTGGCCTGCTTTGTAATACCTTTTATTTTAGAATAGTTTTATAGAATAATTTTAAATTTACAAAAACATTGTATCTCTAACGATAGTACAAGGCCAGGCACAGTGGTTCATGCCTGTAATCCCAGAACTTTGGGAGGCAGAGGCAGGCAGATCACTTGAGCTCAGGAGTTTGAGACCAGCCTGGGCAATATGGCAAAACCCAGTCTCTACCAGAAATTAGCTGGGCATGGTGATATGTGCCTGTGGTCCCAGCTACTTGGGAGGCTGAGGTGGTAGGATCACTTGAGCCTGGGAGGTGGAGGTTGCAGTGAGCTGAGATCACACCACTGCACTTCACCTGGATGACACAGTGAGATCCTGTCTCAGAATAAATAAAAAAATAAAAATAAAGATAGTACAGAGAGTTCCCGTATATCCCACACCTAGTTGTCCTGTGATTAACATCTTACATTTGTAGGGTACCTGGTCACAATTAGTGCACCAATACTGATACATTATATTTTGATGCCTTTTTAGATATATTGACTTATTTGATCCTCAAAACAACACTATGTGGTCAGTGCTATTAGTATCCTCATTTTACAGATGAGGAAACTGAGGCACAGAGAATTGAAGTAACTTATTGAAGGTAGTGCAGCTAACGGAGGACCCAGGATATACTATCAAGCAGGCAATCTGGCCCCAGAGCCCTTGCTCTTAACCAATGGGCGATATTTCCGATAGGTCTGGGAGTAGGGGTTACGGCACTGAGGGTAGTCAACGGGGGCTTCCTGGGAGAGGCATTTGAGCTGACGCCAGTACTGTCAGCTCTGTACGTAGTGACACTTTGAAGCCAGTGGAGCTGTGTCTGGGCCAGCTCTGGGTCCCTGCAGCCAACACAAGTGCTTTTACTTAGGGGAGCAAGAAATAGAGAGGGCTAGGGGTTCATGCATGATGGCTGGACCTGCTGCAGGGCCCAGCAGAGTGAAGGTGAATCTGGGCGGAGGAGGCTGTGGGTGGAAGGGAAAGCCAGAGAGGATGCTGGGAAGGAGGTCAAACTGGGGAGGGGCCTGGAACATGGCTGGTGTCCAGGAAGGGCCTGGACACACCTGAGGAAAGATGAAGTTTTTTGTTTGTTTGTTTCTGCTTTTGCCACTTTTTTTTTTTTTTTGGAGTCCATGAGGCATTTTATTTGTCAATGTATGTATTACATCCCTAGAAAAAGAATCCGAGGATTTTCCCTCCTGTATGTTTTCGTCTTGCTTCTTCATGGTCCATGATGCCAGCTGCAGTTGTCAATACAATGAAACCAAACTGGCAGGACGGAAGCAGATTATTCTGCCATTTTTCTAGATCTTTGAGTTGCACATCAAATCTGGGGCTGATCACACCACACTTGTTTAGCCTGCCTGTGAGTTTCACAACAATTTTCCCGGCTCTGTGATCATCAGTGATTTCAAATTTGCCAAAGTAACCATGCTTCATCATCACAGTGAGAAACTGGATGATGACTTTGGAGCACGGCCTAATAAGCACCTGGAGTTTGCCTCTCTTTTCGGCATTGCTGATGCTCTTGAGAGCATCAGCCAGGACATTCATGCGCACCATTGTGGCGGCACGGAAAGAGGACGGGAGGGGAGAGTGCACAGAGTTATCCTGCTTTTGCCACTTTAAAATAATTCCAAATGTATGTCTACAGGCTAAGAACTCTTTTAATTAATTAATTAGTTCATTCATTTATTTTTTGAAATGGAGTCCTGCTCTGTTACCCAGGCAGGAGTGCAGTGGTATGATATTAACTCACTGCAACCTCTGCCTCCCAGGTTCAAGCAATTCTCCTGCCTCAGCCTCCCTAGTAGCTGGGATTACAGGTACCTACCACCAAGCTGGGCTAATTTTTGTAATTTTAGTAGAGACAGGGTTTCACCATATTCATCAGGCTGGTCTTGAACTTCTGACCTCAGGTGATCTGCTCACCTTGGCCTCCCAAAGTGATGGGATTACAGGTCTGAGCCTCTGCACCTGGCCCTCTTTTTTTTTTTTTCCTAGAGAAGGACTCTTTTTAAACACAACCTTAACATCATTACCACATCTAAATAATTAACAATAATTTTCACTAACCTCAGTACCTAGTCAGTATTCAAATGCCCAAACTTTCTCATGAATTTGTTTTTATTTTGTTTGCTTTGCAGTTATTTATTTTTTCAAGATGGAGTCTCGCTCTGTTGCCCAGGCTGGGGTGCAGTGGCAGCATCATAGTTCACTGTAGCTCCGAACTTCTGGGCTCAAGCCATCCTTCCACCTCAGCCTCCCTAGTAGCTGGGACTATAGACATGCGCCACTATACCTTACTAATCAAAAAAAATTTTTTTCCTGTAGAGATGAGGTCTGGCTATGTTGACCAGGCTGGTCTAAATTCCTAGCTTCAAGCAAATCCTCCCACCTCTGCCTTGTAAAGCTCTAAGATAACAGGCGTGAGCCACCATACCCAGATGCAGTTATTTTGTCACTCACATCAGGATCCAAATAATTGTAATTGGTTGCTTCTAAAAAACCTCTATAGATACCCCCACCACCCTCCAACAGCTCGCTGTCTCTCTCTCAAAATGTATTTATCGAGGAAAGCTGGCCATTTGCCCTTTAGAGTCCTTCATCATCTGGGTTTGCTATTTGAATTTCTGTGGTGCAATTAACACATCCTCTGTCTCCTGAGAGTAAACTGGTCTGGGGAGGGCTTCATAGGTGTCAGATTTGTTTATGGGGGGCTGCTTGTCTGCATTGTGAACACTTGGAGGGGTGTCCAGGAGTTCCGGGGTCCTTAAGGAGGCTGGACAGTGGCCCTGGGGAGGGATCCAGTTTAGGCCTGAGCTGTGGGGACAGAGGGCAGTCAGGAAGGAGAAGCTTAGAAGCCCAGATGGGTGTCTGCTTGGCTTTGGGAGAAGCCAGAGAGAGAAGGGAGAGGAGGAAGAATCACAAATTTCTCCAGCACCACAGAAAATAGACTTTTATTTTTATCTGGGGGACCACAGAAATTTTTTGTCCTAATGTTTGATCATGAAAACTTTCAAACATGTAGAAAAGTAGAATAGTACAATGATCACTACCACTAAGACCCAATAATTAACATTTTTCTAAATTTGCTTTATCTATGTATAGATAAAGAAATACGTATACGTTATTTTTTTTTTCTTGTTAAAAGACAAAGTCTCACTCCATCACCCAGGCTGGAGTGCAGTGGTGCAATCTTGGCTCACTGCAACCTCTGCCTCCTGGGTTCAAGCCATTCTTGTGACTCAGCCTCCTAAGTAGCTGGAATTACAGGTATGTGCCACCATGCCTGGCTAATTTTTTTTTTTTTTTTGCATTTTTAGTAGAGTTTCACCATGTTGGCTAGGCTAGTTTCAAACATCTGAGCTCAAGTGATCTGCCCATCTTGGCCTCCCTAAGTGCTGGGATTGCAGATGTAATACATATACCTTCTCTCTGTCTCTCTCTCTCTCTCTCTGCTAAAGGATTTGAAAGTGAGTTGTAGACATTGTGATGCTTCATCCCTCACTATGTCAGCATGGATCTCCTAAAAATGACCCGCCCCGTGACCATTAGTATTGCTGAAAAAATGAACATGAATCAGCAAATGTCTGGCAGATGTGAGCTTGTGGTATTTCTTGAGCTCCTGCTGTGTGCCAGGCCTGGCACTTGGCTCAGCCCCTCTTTCCCTCACTTGACCCTCAGAACCACAGGCAGTAGCCATGCATTCTCTGTACTTTACACAGGGGGAGATGGACTCAGAGAGGCAAAGTCACTCACCCAGGGTCACATAGCTTTGTAGTGTGATGGTCAAGGTGGAGCTCGACTGGAACGTAGGCCTGTGTGGCTATGCCCACTGTGTTCATGGTGGCCTGGCCCCTTGACCAGCAGGCCCCTTGGAATGTACCTTTCCTAGGCTTGGCCAGGATACTGTGTCATTTGAGAAAGAAGTCAGCATGGCACTCTCTGTGTTCGTGAACCAAGGCCCAGAGAAGTGAAAAGACCTGCTGGAGGTCACACGGTGATTGAATGGGGCCAGCCTTTAGCCTCCTGCCCCTTCTCTCCACAGTCCATCAGTGGGCACCCTCTGCCCCCTCCATTAGGCACAGCCCAGGCGAGGTGGCTTCCCTGGGGATTCATTGAGATGTGGGAATCATTCCAGAAGGACAGGCTGCAGCTGGGAAGAGAGGGGCTGGTGCCGTCAACAGAGTCAGTCTAGAAGCCTGGCTGTGCCACTTTTTAGCTTGGTTACCTTGGGCAAATGACTTAACCTTTCTGATGCTCAGTTTTCTCCTAAACCTACCTGCCAAGCTTATTCTGAGGCTCCAGTGGGGTGGGCCTGAGGCTCCAACAGTGCTGGGCACCTCGCTGGCATTCTTTAAACATTTCAATTTCTCTTCCCACCCTTTGTTTATAGCATCTTGCCCTTACTAGGCATTCAATACATGTAGAATGGATGAATTCAGTCGGCGACCCTTTATGGGAGACCCACGCTGTGCCATGCGCTAGGCCTTGGAGAGTCAATGGGGAGCAAAACACATGGCCCTTCTCCCAGTAGAGCTTACAAACGGTGGAGCTCAGTCTGCCAGGACAGTGCTGCAGGGTGAGCCTCAGCAGGCTTCTGTTGGTGGGTGGGCCACTGCAGGGCAGGGACAGCTTCCCTGAGGAGGGGACCACTGAACCAAGAGCAGAAAGAAGCACAGGCATTAACTGGACAACGGGGAGCAGGGAACGGGGGAGCAGATGAGTGCAATCGTGCTACTTCTCTCAGCGTCAGCTTCCCCATCTGTAAAATGGGATGCTGACGCTATCTTGCTGGCTGGCTTTGAGGACTTGGTGACATCGCAGATGTGAATATGTTCTGCAAGCCATGTTCTCCCGCCAGCTCCCCACAAGACAGGCTCTGCAAGTATCTGAGTCCCCTGTTCCTCCCTCTGGCTCCTCTGGAAGGCTCACCTCCTACTTTCCTCTCCCCAGTGTTGGACAAGTGGTGAATATCAAGGCCAAGGTGAACCGGGCCTTCAACTCCAGCATGGAGGTGTGTGGGGTGGGCACTGCCTGGGCGTGGGTGCGTGGGAGGGTCCTCTACCTCCTCTCCCGTTCTTCTCCCTGCAGCCCAGGCCCACTCACACTCTCAGGGCCCTGATTAGAGCAGCTGAGTTCTGCAATGGTTGGCAGGGCAAGGGGAATCCCAAGGATCTTCCTGTCCCAAATCCCATAATGCAGACGGGAAAATCCAGGCTTGGGAGGGGAAGGGACTTGCCCCAGGTCACCGAGCTACATAGATTCCAGTGTGGCACTTGACGTCCAGCCCCGAGTCTTCACATCCAGCCTCAGCAGCCAGGTGTTTGTGGGAATAGGGGGAAGACAGCATCAGCATCTGATCTTGGAGGCGGAGCTGGGGCAGTGAGAGTGCTGGGTTCCGGGCCCTGAGCCTGCCTCCCACAGCGTCTCATCTGCAAAAGGGAACATGATTCCTGTGTTGCAGGGTTGTTGAGTTAATGGGAGGACTGCTGGTAATGCCCAGGGCTCTGTGAGCTGTGGGGGAGGACTCTATTTCCCGCCTATGGACTTCAGGCCCAGGCAACTTCACCAGCTGGGCCAGTGGTTCCTGAGGGAGCACTGAGGCTGGGTGACATAGTCCTGACTATGCCTCTGGGCAACCCATAAATGCTCAGGTACCCCCAGGTGCCTGTTCTTGATTTTTTTTTTTTGAGACCGAGTCTAGCTCTGTCACCCAGGCTGGAGTGCAGTGGTGCGATCTTGGCTCACTGCAACCTCCGCCTCCTGGGATCAAGCGATTCTCCTGCCTCAGCCTCCCAAGTAGCTGGGATTACAGGTGCCTGCCACCAAGCCCAGCTAAGTTTTGTATTTTTAGTAGAGATGGAGTTTCACTGTGTTGGCCAGGCTGGTCTTGAACTCCTGACTTTGTGATCCGCCTGCCTCAGCCTCCCAAAGTGCTGGGATTAGGAGTGTGAGCCATCTTGCCTGGTCTTGATTTTTAATTTTTATTATTATTTTTTTGAGACGAGGTCTTACTCTTTCACACAAGCTGGAGTGCAGTGGTGCAATCATAGCTCACTGTAACCTCGAACTCCTGGGCTTTAGCAGTACTCCTGCCTCAGCCTCCCGAGTATCTGGGACTACAGGCATGCACCACCACACCCAGCTAATTTTTGTGGGCTTTTTTTTTTTTTTTTCCCCAGAGACAAGTGTCTCCCTGTGTTGCCCTGGTTGTCTTGAACTCTTGGCCTCAAGTGATTCTCCTGCTGCAGCTTCCCAAAGTTTCAGGATTTCAGGCCATGGAGCCTGGCCTGTCCTTTAAATTTAGCCAATATTCTACCTACAGTAAGCCCTGTTGTAGACATAGTCTCATTTTAATCCTCAACAATCCCGCAAGGGTAGTCTGATCACTCCCATTTTGCAGATGAGGAAACTGAGACCCAGAGAAGGGAAGTGACTTGCCCAAGGTTTCATGGGGATCCAAGGGCACAGTCAAAACCCACCTCAGATCTCAGGCCTGCCAGACCTGGTAGGTGGCACAGAAACTCTAGAGGCTTGGCCTGGGCTGGGACTTGCTGTCTGGTGGAGCTGCGGGGCTTCTCACTGGTGAGTGCAATGTCGCCCCTGTTCCTTCGCCCTTACTGTTCCTCTCTAGGTGGGCATCCAGGTGTCCTCGGAGGACCTGTGCTCTGAGAAGCAGTGGAATGTGTGCAAGGCCTTGGCCACCTTCGTGGCCCACCGAGAGATCACCAAGGTGAGCAGGTGCCCCTGGCTGCTCAATGCTGCTCAGCGACCTGGGCACCTGCCATGGCGATTCTGGATCAGGGTGGTGAGGTTGGGGGTTGGCAGAGGGGATGGGGAGGGACACAGCAGGAATCCACAGCTCCCAGAGGAAGGACCACTCCCCACTGCATTCGGACCTCCCAGCTGCCTCCCCTCTCTTTTCCCCCACCTCTCCCTGTGCTTCTCCAGCAAGGATTCTTCTGGTCCCACCATTCCACATGTCCTGCAGTGACACCGCCATCCTCTGAGCCTTTACCCAAGGAAGGGACCTGGGTGGGAGCTGGAGGATGAATATGCGGTATCAGGTCATCATGGAGGCAGGAAGATGGGGCAAAGAAGGAGGAAGCCTTGGAACTGAGCAGTGGTCCAGGCCTGCTGTGTGCCAGCTTCAGGCATGGGATGGCGCTGGGGACAGGCCCTTGTGCTACTTCAGGAGACTCACCCTGAGGGTCCCCTACCCTGTTCCCTGGCTGACAGGTGAAGCTGAAGCAGATCACGCCGCGGACAGAGGAGGAGAAGATGGAGCACAGCGTGGCGGCTGAGCGCCGGCGCATGCGCCTTGTGTATGCGGACACCATCAAGGACCTCCTGGCCAACTGCGCCATTCAGGACGGTGAGCAGCTGCCAGCATGCATGGGGAGGGTAGCTGGGTCCTGCCTGGCCCCTCTGCCCCGGGACCCCACTGGGCAGAGGCAGGAAGGGAGGCTCCGGGGACTTCCACTCACAGGTGGCCCTGGGCCTGTCAAGCTCTCTTGGCCCCACGGTCTTCTACCGGAAAAGGGAGTGTTTGGTCCTCCTACCAGCTCCCAGGAACCATGAGGCTGTGGTTAGGTCCTGTGGAAATCCCTTTGTTGTCCACAAAATGCATTTTGGTTTCCAGAACCCAAGGTGTTTGGGAAGACAGTATTGAGCAATGCCTTGAAGACTCCGTAGGAGTTTTTAAAGTGTGTGTGTGTGTGTGCGCGTGGATATATATATATATCCATCTATTAAAAAAAAGCATATATAAAATCTGGCCGGGTAGGGTGGCTCACGCCTCTAATCCCACCACTTTGGGAGGCTGAGGTGAGCAGATTACGAAGTTAGGAGTTCGAGACCAGCCTGGCCAACATGATGAAACCTTGTCTCTACAAAAAAAACCAAAAATTAGCCAGGAGTGGTGGCACATGCCTGTAGTCCCAGCTACTTGGGAGGCTGAAGCAGGAGAGCTGCTTGAACCCAGGAGGTGGAGGTTGCAGTGAGCTGAGATCACACTGCTGCACTACAGCCTGGGTGAGAGAGCAAAACTCTGTCTCAAAAAAAAAAAAAAAAAGCGTACGTAAAACATATGTGGCAGGGGGCATGGTGGCTCAGGCCTGTAATCTCAGCACTTTAGGAGGCTGAGGTGGGTGGATCACGAGGTCAGGAGATGGAGACCATCCTGGCCAACATGGTGAAACCCCGTCTTTACTAAAAAATACAAAAATTAGCTGGATGTGGTGGCGGACACCTGTTGTCCCAACTGCTTAGGAGACTGAGGCAGGAGAATTGCTTGAACCTGGGAAGTGGAGGTTGCAGTCAGCCGAGATTGTGCCATTGCACTGCAGCCTGGTGACAGAGCAAGACTCCATCTCAAAAATAAAAAAATGTAAAAAAAAAAAAATATATATATATATATATGCTTATGTATATGTGTGTGAGTATATATGCATACACACACACACACACGTATATATATATTCCTGCCACCCCCAAAAGATAGAAAATAAAAAGCAAGTCTCCTTTCTATCCCAGTACCAGGTCCTCTCTCCAGAAGCAACTACTATTACCTGTTTTAGGGTCTCTTTCCAGAAGTATTCCCTGTATATCTAAGCATAACATATTATTCAGCCCCTGAAAAGGGGCATTCAGTACATACTATCTGTATCTTGCAGTTTTCCCATTAAAAGTATACCTTGAGACTTCTTCAGGCCCCATTGCCCTGTGAATACCCTCCCCATCCTGTCACCAGACTTTGGCTCAGGCCACCTTTACCTTCCCCTCCTGTTGGCCCCCGCCCTACCTGTGGCATTTCAGAGCCTGCAAGCCAAGCTAAGGGCAATGCCAGCTCTTTGATGGACCTTCCCTGAAGAAGTCTCTATGGGAGATGGGAGACAAATGGCACCACCTTGGGTTTGGTGGGGCATGCCAGCCTCTGCTGCCCTGAAGCCCAAGGCCCCATTCACTGCCTGGCCTCTCCTACTAAGGATATGCTAACGTCATTGCTGCCAAGGATAAGGGAATCGCCATGGCACAGGGTGGGGAAGAACTGTCCTTTCTGAGAGTATATTTACTGGAGCACTTTGTGATTATGATTTTTTTTGAGACAGAGTCTCACTCTGTCTTCTAGGCTGGAGTGCAGTGGCGTGATCTCGGCTCACTACAACCTCCGTCCCGGGTTCAAGTGATTCTTGTGCCTCAGCCTCCCAAGTAGTTGGAATGACAGGCACCCACCACCATGCCCAGCTAATTTAAAAAAATATTTTTAGTAGAGATAGGGTGTCACCATGTTGGCCAGGCTGGTCTTGAACTCTTGACCTCAAGTCATTTGCCCACACTGGCCTCCCAAGTGCTGGGATTACAGGAGTGAGCCACCATGCTTGGCCTTGAGTCAAGCACTTTATGACAGTAATCACATTTCATCTTCAAATAGTCCTGTCAGGTCGGGTTTGACATCTGTCTGTACAGATGAGGCAGCCGAGGTTCAGAGGGATTACTTGATTTGCCCAAGGCCATACAGGCAGTCTGGAGTGGAGCTGAGGCTCAGACCAGCTGTTTTGTCTCAGAGCTGGTGCTGTGTCCACTGTGCTTGACGAGCTCATCCCTTTCACCCTGTGCCCTCCATTCCTCACCCGGGGCCACCCACTGCCTCATGTGCGCTTGGTGCTGAGTAAATAAAAGAACCTGAGTGGGGTGGAGTGGTGGGGGTCCTGCGGCTGGCTGTGGGGAAGGGCTGCCCTTGGAGGCCTTCTCACCTCCCTGCTTCCCTCCCTTACCCCATCCCTTGTCAGATCTGGAGAGCAGAGACTGCAGCCGCATGGTGCCGGCTGAGAAGACCCGTGTGGAGAGCGTGGAACTGGTCCTGCCTCCCCATGCCAATCACCAGGGCAACACCTTTGGGGGCCAGATCATGGCCTGGATGGAGAATGTGGCCACCATTGCAGCCAGGTGAGGGCAGAGTGTGCTGCCTCTGCCTCCCCTCCTTTCTCCTCATTCCCTCCTTGGCCATCTCCCTCTGGACGGGAAGCCCCAGCTTGGGGTTGGCGTTCAAGGCTTCAGCTGTTCCGAATCAGAGAAATGAATTTTTGTGAACTGACCATTCCTTCTACTCAAAACACTCTCATCTTTTATGTGGGAAACACCAAGTCTCTTGGCCTGGCACTAGATCCTCCCCTTGCTGTGGCCCTACCTGTACTCCTAGTGTCTGTGTTCCCTTTACATCAAGCCATTGGCTGTTCTTTGTTGCCATCCTCCACTTTCCCAGCCCCTGCCTTTGCTCCGGGTGTAGCCTCCTGCTGTGCTTCCCTCACTCTTCTTCGTCTGTGAATATCCTGCCCACTTCCTCCATAAAGCCATCTCTGACTGTTCCCTCTTCCAAGGGGTGAAATTGTTTCATCTCCCATAACCTCTGCCTGTTCAGGGCTTGTTCTACCCTACATATCAGGGCACTTTTTATAGTTATGGCAACTGACCTTCACTAACTGACACTCTCACACCTCCATGACTTTGCTTTTGCTGTTCCCTCTGCCAGGAATGCCCTTCCCAGCCAGGCGGATTCCGCCTTATTCTTTAGAACCTGGCTTAAATGGCCCCTCCTCCAGTTTAACCTCAGGGAGACGGTACATAATCAATGCCATTTTGGGCAGCCCTGGCTATGAGTACAGTAAGATCTCAGAGGAGGGTGAGGGCCTGATGGTCAGGGAAGGCTGCCTGGAGGAAGAGTACTTCAGCAGGGCTTTGAATGCCAAGTAGCTTTGGATAAGGGGAGGGCTTCTAGATAGTGGGAACAGCAGGTACTAAGGTGGAAAGGAACAGCAGGTACTAAGGAAAAGTTGAAAGAAAAATGGGAAAGTGGTTTACCCCAAGCCCTGCTTTCTTCTGTCCCCTCAAACTTGGCTCCTTTCCAGCCATGCATAGACCTCAGTATTCTAAGCTGTGAAATGGGACTTTAGTTCTGTGCCTCTGAGCAGAACTGCCACTGGGTTGGGTGGCAGTGGGTGGGTCAGAGTGTGTGGCTCCAGGCTGGGTCTGTGATGGGACCAGGGTAGAAGGCCAGCTCAAGCTGATCTAGCATGGCAGCTCACACCTGTAATCCCAGCACTTTGGGAGGCCGAAGTGGGCAGATCACTTGAGGTCAGGAGTTCAAGACCAACCTGGCCAACAAGGTAAAGCCTCATCTCTACTAAAAATACAAAAATTAGCCAGGCATGGTGGTGCGTGCCTGTAGTCTCAGCTACTTGGGAGGCTGAGGCAGGAGAATCGTTTGAACCCCAGAGGTGGAGGGAGGTTATAATGAGCCGAGTGTTGCCTAGGCACAGAGTGAGACCCTGTCTCAAAAAAAAAAAAAAAAAAAAAAAACCTGGCCCAAACTAGTGTCTGAAGCACTGGGGCATTCCTTCTGTCTCCCCACCCCTGCCTCCTCAGCCGTCTCTGCCGTGCCCACCCTACGCTGAAGGCCATTGAGATGTTCCACTTCCGAGGCCCATCCCAGGTTGGCGACCGTCTGGTGCTCAAAGCCATTGTGAACAATGCCTTCAAACATAGGTGAGGGTGTGGGATGGGCAAGGCTGGGGCCATTCAGGGCTGAGGGCTCTTCCTGACCCTAGAAAGGACCCTATTGCAAACCTTCCAGGTGCCCTTTTCCTTGCAGACAGGGTCTAAATCCCTGTCTGGCTGCTGGGTTCCTTCATTGTCTCTGATGTTTCCTCCTTGGGAGCCTTCCCTGACTTCCAGTCCTCCTCTGGGATGCCCCAGCCCGTCTCCCGCTGTCTGAGATCAGTGTCTCACCCCTGGCTCCTGGCCCCAGGCTGGCCTGCTGTAGCTCACAGGGCCACTTGTTTATCAAACCCTTTCTCATGCACTTCCTAAAGTAGTTAGTCCACAGAGTCCTTGCCTTCGCAATGAATTCTGATACTTACTCCCATGAAAGCTGACTTTAAATAAGTATATTTTTTGAGAATTTTCAGAGATAAAAGTGAGGGATCAGGAGCCAGGCTGCTGGGTTCGAGTTTGGCTCTGTGACGTAACTTAACCCACCTGAGCCTCAGTTCTTTCGTCTATAAAATGGGGCTCATCACAACTACCTCGGAGTTACGTGGATTCAATGAGCCGTTACTAGTGGAATGCCGGAGAAAATGTCCAGTAAAGGCCAGCCATTGTGGCTGCTCTTACTACTACTGTTGTTCTTTGCAGTCTGGCCTGCACACACGCTGCTGCGGTGCAGGGGAGAAGCCCTTTGCAGGAGCCGTGAAGCCTGGTTTCTAGTCCAGATTCCAGGAATCCGGAATTCTTGGAAACATTATTGCCTAGTTCTAGGCCTTGGTTTCCCCATCTATTTAATGTCCACATTCTGCAATCATAGAACTTCCAAAATGATTGGGAATGGTGGTGGCTGCTATGTTATAATGAATAAAGATGGTAAGTAGCTGGGCGCGGTGGCTCACCTGTAATCCCAGCACTTTGGGAGCCCAGCACTTTGGGAGGCTTGAGTCTCAGAGTTCAAGACTAGCCTGGCCAACATGGCAAAATGCTGTCTCTATTAAAAATACAAAAAATGAGCCACGTGTGATGGTGCACACCTGTAATCCCAGCTACTGGGGTGGCTGAGTCAGGAGAATCACTTGAACACAGGGGAGGAGGTTGCAGTGAGCCGTGACTATGCCACTGCACTCTAGCCTGGGTGACAGAATGAGACTCTGTCTCAAAAAATAAAGGAATAAAGAAATAAAGATGGTAAGATACACACAAATAGCAGCAACTGAGCTGTTTGAGGCAAAGCTGTCGTAGAGCTCGTAAATACGCACATAGTGAACGTTTTCTAATTAGGTCGTCCACCTCTACTTCCTGGTTTATGCCCTTCCATACCTTCGCGATTATGACAGCATATTTATACCTTTGCTTTCTTGTTGCTTGCCTCCTCCCCCGGCTGTTAGCCCACGAGGTATGGACTGGACAGGTTTATTCACTCCTGTGTCCTCACAGGGCTGACCGCACAAAAGGTGCTCTGTAAACATTGGTGGAGGGAGCGGTCCCAGGTGTTCTGTCACTGTGACTCCCATCTAGGTTGCTGGAAGAACTGCAGGAGTGTGTGTGCACGTGTGTGTGAGTGGATGCATGTGTGTGTGTATATGTGCATGCATGTATATGTGTGGATGCGTGTGTGTGCATGCATGTGTGTTTGAGCGTGTGTTGGGGAGGAGGCATGGCCCTTGGGAAGTTCTGTCCAGGTTGGAAGCTGCACTTCCTCCCCTCAGCATGGAAGTGGGCGTATGTGTGGAGGCATATCGCCAGGAGGCTGAGACCCACCGACGCCACATCAACAGTGCCTTTATGACTTTCGTGGTCCTGGACGAAGATGACCAGCCTCAGCTGCTGCCCTGGATTCGGCCCCAGCCTGGGGTGAGTGGAGTCAGCACCCTGCTTCACCAGCAGCTTTCCTCCCCTCCCTCTCTGCCCTGGTGTGGTGGAGCCTGCCAGCCCCCTACAGGCCAGCCCCCTACAGGGGCACGAGGGGCCCACCCTGCCCCGGTGCTGGGGCACAGCCAGCTCTAAGAGTCCTGGCTATGAGCCCCAGGATGCCCCTTGTGCAGGGTGGGCTTGCTCTGCTTGACAGAACTCCGAATATGTGTGGGTCTGGCTCGGAGTTGGGGTTAATGGGCTGTCATGAGCCTGCAGAGTTGGGAGAGCACTGGCTTTGGAGTCAGATGTGGGTTGGAACCTTGCCTCTACCATATTCAAGTGGTACCCCCTCGAGCTCTCAGTCCTCATCTGTAAAATGGACATAGCTGCAGTCCCTGCCTCATAGGGCTGTGGGGTAATAGATGCGCAACTGACTCCATGCCTGGCTGAGCCCTGGGAGTGGTCAGAACGATGGTGAAAGCAATGCATGGGGCATGGGAAGACAGTCAGGAGCCTGGTGCAAAGGTCCTTTCTTACAAAATGCTTCTTGTGCCCCCTGAAAGGCTGCTCCCTCCCTTGGGGCAGGTCCCCTGCCCTGCCTGCTGGCCTCCCAGAGCCTAGCGTGGACTGTGGAGTTGGGTGGAGCCTCAGGACTGGGAGCTGGGAGCCACAGCCACAGCAGTTTCCCAGGCGTTTTCCATGTTATGCTTGGGACTGGGGGACGTGAGATGTGGTGGTAAAGAGGGTGGGCTTGAGACAGGCCTGGGGTGCTGACCCTGGCCTCAGCCCTGTGGCATTGGCAAGCCTTCACCTGTTCTTTTCTCAGTTTCCTCCTCTGTAGAATGGGCACAGCACTAGCTCCATTCAGAGGGTTGTTTTAAGATTTGGTGCAATTCTGCACGAAAAGCCCTTGAGAAGAGTGGCTGGTGTATAGCAAGTGCTCAATAAATGTGGACTCTCATTACCACTGTGAGTGCCCTGTAAGGATCCACACTGGGTTTTTTTGAGACGGAGTCTCCCTCTGTTGCCAGGCTGGAGTGCAGTGGCGTGATCTCAGCTTACTGCAACCTCCAGTTCCCTGGTTCAAGCAATTCTCCTGCCTCAGCCTCCCTAGTAGCTGGGATTACAGGCATGCACCACCACACCAGCTAATTTTTGTATTTTTAGTAGAGACAGGGTTTCACCATGTTGCCTAGGATAGGATAGTCTCAATCTCCTGACCTTGTGATCTGCCCACCTTGGCCTCCCAAAGTGCTGAGATTACAGGTGTGAGCCACTGCTCCCGGCTAAGGATCTCTATTTTACAGAGGAGAAAACTGAGGTCTGGCCAGGGAGGAAACTGAGGTCTGGCCAGGGGAGATGGTGTTCCCAGGTCACTCAGAGAGTTTGAGGGGAGCTGGGGCTACAGCTTAGTTTCCCGCTTTCTTGGGCAGGAGGTTTTGACTCCAGCTGCCCTAGTGATACCTGAACTCCGCGTTAGGACCACAGATCTCCTTGGGTCCTGGGGAATGGAGAGAGGGTGGGATGGAGGGCAGGGGTAGCTGGTTGCACCTCTCGAGGCACAGCCTATCCCGACTTCCTCCCAGGATGGTGAGCGGCGGTACCGAGAGGCCAGTGCCAGAAAGAAGATACGCCTCGACAGGTGAGTAGGGGCTGTGTAGTGGGCAGAATTCGGCTTTGGGGCTGTTCATGTTCCGCTGACCCCAGGGCACTCACTTTTCTTCAGGGCTGCCTATGTGTTGGGCCCTGGGCCGAGCCCTTTACATCCTTTTGATTTCGTCTCATTACACAGTGGTCGCCTGGCCTATTGTACAGGTGAGGGCACCAGGGATGAAGGGGTTAGGTGGCTTCCCATGGACATACAGATATCATCAGCAGAGTCAGAATTTGAACCTGGCTGGGTCCAGCCGAATTTAAATCTTATGTTCTTCCCATTGATTCTGATGCCCATTTGGCAGATGAAGAAACATTCAGAGGGGAGATGCAGTTGCTTAAGAGGTAAAGCCACTTTGGGAGGACGAGGTGGGTGGATCCCCTGAGGTCAGGAGTTCGAGACCAGCCTGGCCAACATGGTGAAACCCAGTCTCTACTAAAAATACAAAAATTAGCTGGGTGTGGTGGCTCATGTCTATAGTTCCAGTGCATCTATAGTCAGGAGGCTGAGGCAGGAGAATAGCTTGAAGTGGGAGGTGGAAGTTGTAATGAGCTGAGATTGCGCCACTGCACTGTAGCCTGGGTGACAGAATGAGACTCCATCTCAAAAAAAAGAAGCAAAAGGGTGAAAGCCAGGTGTGTGTGACTCTGCTGTGAAAGCATTTAGGGACTTTAGCGGCTGTAAGCACAGCAGGGATCACAGCTGTTGTTGATAAGAAAGTGCATCTGTGGCATTCACTGAGCATTTACCACGTGCCAAGCACTTGTGATGACTCCACGAGGCAGGGGCGACTGCTGATCCCATTTCACAGATGAGGACACAGCAGCATCACGGTGAGGTCACTCAGCAGGGGTGTGGGGTGTAGGGACCGAGCCTTAGATGCCATACCCTTCCTTGCTGGCTTACTCCCTGCCTCCAAGCTGCCCCTGGTGTAGGGGCCAAGCTGGTGTGCTCTCAGCTGTCGTGTTGTGTGTGACCATCCAGCCTCCCTGGTTAGACAAGAGTCTCCTGCTCTGTTGGGCTTAGCACAGGGCCCAGCACATAGTAGGCCTGGAGTAGAGTCTGTGGAAAGTGCGGGACTTCCAGGGGACCCAGGTTGTCATCTTCCCTCCTTCCCAGGAAGTACATCGTGTCTTGTAAGCAGACAGAGGTGCCCCTCTCTGTCCCCTGGGACCCTAGCAACCAGGTAAGGCCCTCTGCTCCCAAGGGGACAGTCTTTAGACCCACCAGGGCCTCTACCCTCCCCTGCTTGGCAGAACGGATTTGGAGGAAGGCTGGAGAGAGCAGGATATGAATGCCACACCTCATGATTGCTGTTAGCAAAGAGCTTGCCTGCATTCCCGTTTGGCAGGTGGAAGTGGAGACCCTAAGAGTCAGAGCTGCTTGTCCAGGGTCACACAGTGGGTCTAGCCAAGCCCAAGCCTGGACCTCCCTTCCCAAAGTCCAGGACTCTTTCCACAGCACCCACCCCCCATTCATGGTCCGGGTTCCTCTCTGGGACACCCTTGGCCTCAGCTCTGGGGCCCTGGAGGAAGGGATGGGGTAGTGGTAGCACCTGTGTGCTCTTCCAGGTGTATCTGAGCTACAATAACGTCTCCTCCCTGAAGATGCTCGTGGCCAAGGAAAACTGGGTGCTGTCCTCGGAGATCAGTCAGGTAGCTGACCCCACCCACCCAACTTTCCTTTCTCCTTTGAGCCAGAGGTGGCTGATGGCAAGCAACAAGAACTCTCCCACATCACTTATGTCAAAAAAGGATCTCTTCAAAGAATTAGGTGAGATCAAGAAACCACTCCAGTTATGGAAGCATACCCACTCCTGCAGGGTCTGGAGTCAAGAAGCCCTAGATCCTTCTCTCCTGCCTGCCCGCCTTCCTGCCCTCAGCCACTCTCTCGGGTCTGCTGCTGTGTGCCCAGGCACTTCCTCCCTTCCTCCCTGTTCTTCTGCAGTCATCGCTGCAGGGATGGGGGCAGCCAGCAGGCACGGGCTTATAGGAGACCTAAGCTCTGCCAGCTGCCTGTGCCCTTGGACAAGTCACCTCCTGTTTGAGAGGTAGAACTGCTTGTCCAGGGTCACACAGTGGGTCTGGGCATTTACCATGTGCCAAGCACTGTTCTTGGGTGCTGTAGCATGGGAGGGCCCGGGCAGACCCAAGGCTTGCACGGGAGCTGGAGGTTGAGATCCCAGCCATCCCACAGGAGCGTGGAGCTAGTGCAGCAGGTGGGCGAAGATGACGCCATCTACCACATCACCATGGTGTGTTGCCTTAGTGACTGGTGTCCTAAGCCACCTTCCTGCCCATTTGTGCTGAATTCTCTCATCAGTCCATCTTCATGAGGATGCAGCTGAGACTCAGAGAGGTTGGGCTCTGTGTTCACAGTCACGCAGCAAGTCAGCTGTCACCCTGAGCTTCCAGCCTCAGCCTCCAGTTTCCCCATTAGTCCACTCCACTGCCCAGCAAAGTGGACTGAGGCTGCCCTCTGACCCATGCAGGTCCGCCTGTACACTCTGGAGGATGACAAGTTCCTCTCCTTCCACATGGAGATGGTGGTGCACGTGGACGCAGCCCAGGCCTTCCTGCTGCTCTCGGACCTGCGTCGGAGGCCAGAGTGGGACAAGCACTACCGGTGAGAGGCCAGGGTGATGGCAGGGCAGAGCCCCTTCTCTGGCCTGATCGGGGAGAGGGTGTCTCCTTCTGCAGGTTGTCCTCCACGTTGTTCTGCCCAGCTGGCCATTAGCAGGGGCTGGGGGTGGGTTGAAGTTCCATGTTGGGTGGGGGTCTGGGTCATGGGTATTTTGAGCCCTTAGGGGAGAGGCTGAGCATGGAATTGGAGCTGGAGGCTTGAGTTGACGTCCTGCTTCTGTCCCAACTAGCTGTGTGACACTGGATAAGTCAAAGTCACTTCCCTTCTGGCCTCAGTTTCTCTCTTCTTAAAATGGGTGCTTGGGGCCGGGTGCGGTGGCTCAAGCCTGTAATCCCAGCACTTTGGGAGGCCGAGGCGGGTGGATCATGAGGTCAAGAGATTGAGACCATTCTGGTTGACATGGTGAAACCCCGTCTCTACTAAAAATACAAAAAATTAGCTGAGCATGGTGGCGCGTGCCTGTAATCCCAGCTACTCAGGAGGCTGAGGCGGGAGAATTGCCTGAACCCAGGAGGCGGAGGTTGCGGTGAGCCGAGATCGTGCCATTGCACTCCAGCCTGGGTAACAAGAGCGAAACTCCGTCTCAAAAAAAAAAAAGAAAAAAAATGGGTGCTTGGGTGGTGGGTCACGGATTCACACTCGGAGACAGTGCCTTTCACACCATGTGCTGTGGAGTGCTGTGCTCCCAGGGGGGCTTCCAGGGCTGCTTTGGGTGGAGTCGGAAGGCCGCAGGGTGTGGGACCCTCTCTTGGGTTTATGCCAACGAATAGCATGGCCGGTTGCTGAACTGACCAAGTTTGCTGATTTTCCTCACAAATACGTTATTTTTGAATATAATGAATGGTTATGAATGGAAATATGTTATTCCTTTAAATACATTTGTTCTTCCAAATTTATTGATCATGTGACTCTTCTCGAATTTAGTCAAGGAAGATAAACGTGTTCTTAGGAAAATAGCACAATCTGTGTTTTTCAAGTCCCCTTAAAGTCGTTTTCTGTTCTGCCAACATCCTAGCTTGGGGGTTTCTTTGAGAGCTTGTTATGAGGAGCCTCCATTCTGGAGGATTTCCGTAAGGAGGTCCTGTGTGTTTGGAAATTCAGTCCGCTGGTCATTTGGCAAATTGTATTTTGACAAACTGGCCTTCCGCTTCCTGTCCCATCTATCTTCTCCAGAGCAGGCTTGTTGCTCTTTATACATGGGCTTCCTGCTGAAGGTTTCTTTGCAAAAAGGGCCATGTTGCTCTCAAAAGCTCTGGTCCAGCTGACTCAGGCCTGCTGGTGGTCCCTTTCCAGAAGGCAGAGAGGTGATTTTGTGGGGGATGCCGTGTAGGGGGAGGGCGGTTGTGCATGTGGTGGGTGGGCTTCTTGGAGGGAGGCTGGGGTGGGCTTTGAAGGCCAGACCAAATCTTGATACCTGATGGGATGTGTGGGGGAGAGGCCTGAGAGCAAAGCGCGGCTAGCTTCTTCCCCATACCCTGCCTATTCCTGAGTGCAGCAGGAGAGTGGGGAGGAGAGAATGGGTCTGGACATGGCCACATGTGCCTCTGTGTGGGTGTCCTGGGTGCGTGCCTGTGTCGATATGAGCCTGTGTATGCCCACACATGTGTGTGTTGGGTGTGGGGACCTGGAGATACATCTCTGCCACTGATAGCCTGAACACACCCCAGCCCCGCTTCCTTATTAGCTCTGTGGCCATGGCCAGGTTATTTTCCTCATCTATGAGATGGGGATACTAGCAGTATCTACAGCATGGGACTGTTACGGAGATTAAGTGACACATGTAAAGCACTTAGAACAGCACCTGGCACTCAGTGGGTGCTTAGTAAATGTTGAGTACAGCTGCTAAATTATCACACATCCTCGTGGTATCTGTACTTGTGCGGACATGTACAGACACGCACGGGTCTCTGTGTGCACTGGTGTCTGCCCATGTACCTGTGCACATAGGACCACAAGTATGCATGTGTGTGCACATCTTTATCCCATGTCTGTGTATGTGTTGGTTTGCTTGCATGCATGTCTCCGTGTGCCTTGTATGCACGTGATGTGTGTGTCCACCCTGGCTGGGTCTTGCTGCCTTCCTGCTGCTCCCTGGTGAGCAGTATAGAGGGTGACATCCTACTGTGGAAGCTGCTTGGGTGCCATGGTGTGGGAGGACCCGGGCAGACCTGCGGCTTGCCTGGAAGCTGGAGGTATGGGAGCTGGAGGCTGAGATCCTGGTCTTCCCACAGGAGTGTGGAGCTGGTGCAGCAGGTGGACGAGGACGATGCCATCTACCACGTCACCAGCCCTGTCCTTGGAGGTCACACCAAGCCCCAGGACTTTGTGATCCTGGCCTCGAGGCGGAAGCCTTGTGACAATGGGTGTGTGCCTATCTGCTCTAGGGTGGGGGGCAAAATGGGACAGAGTGTTAGGATGGCCTCATCTCTCTCCCAGGGAAGGGCATTGCCTGGAGCCAGAGCTCTGCTTCCCATTGGCTGTGGGGCTCCAGACACCATGAGGCTTTTCTGGCCTGCTGTGGCTTTACCATGGGTAAAATAGGGATGGGGCACACACTTCCCCTCTTGTCACAGTTTCTAAGGCAGGGCCACCCTCATCCAGGGTGGCTCAGGCTGCCTCGATGCAGGCCTTAGACAGGATATTTCTCACATGGCCACCCCCTTGGCCTCCTCCCTCTGACAGCCCCATGTGGGCTGGAGGGCCTACACATCTCTTTTGCTGGAAAGACAGGGACAGAAAAAAAATCCCAAAGGCCACACTCTTCCCCCGCACACTGAAGTAGAGTGGCTTTTCCAGAAAGTCCACAGCGGAGTCAGGTTGGCTCCGGTGAATTCAGTGCTAACCCACAGGTGCCTCCCACTCCAGCCGGACCCTGAGCCACGTGTTGGGCTGTAAGAATCCATGTACCATGCAGCCCCCGGTGAGGAATCCGTGCCAGAGGGGGCAGGGTCTGGGCCTTGGTTGGGCAGAACAGGCCCCCACTTTCTTCTGTGGCTGACCCCTGCCCCCTGCCCCTACCCTTCCTTCACTCAGGGACCCCTATGTCATCGCGCTGAGGTCGGTCACACTGCCCACACACCGAGAGACACCAGAGTACAGGCGTGGAGAGACCCTCTGCTCAGGCTTCTGCCTCTGGCGCGAGGGGGACCAGCTGACCAAGGTGAGGCCACACCCCCACCATGCCCCCAGCCTGGTTCCACCCCAACACACATATGCATGGAACTCAGAACTGCTGGCCTAGGATAGTCCAGAGCTGGGTCTCCCAGCAGGCTCTCCTTTCCAGCCTGGGGAAGCCTGAGTGTCAGGGGCTGGAAATGATGTCATCTGTGTGGAGGTGAGCCAGAGGCTGCTGCATGGTCTTGGGAAAAGCTCTGGGCGCTGAGGGCAGAAGGCCTGGGGGTTCTGAACTGAAACTCCATCGCGTATGGAGAGCCCTTCTCATCTAGGAAGGCTTTATAAGGCTCTGAGAGCCCATAAAACCCAGCAGAGTAGTCCAGACTGATGGAAAACATGGGGAGGAGGCTGAGGGAAAGCGAGGGTGGGTGCTGCAGCCTCCCCGCTCACAGCTTCGTTAGGGCTCTGCCCCTGAGTCTGGCCCTGAGACTCCCCCAGCAGAGACTCAGCCGGTGTCTGCTGAATTCATATGCTTGGACCCATGCACACCTCAGAACCATCCCTGGGCTCCTGTCTAGCATGTCTCTGTGGCTGAGATTCAGAGAGGGCAGAGACGCAGCCTCTGCCCTCCAGGGACACCAGCTGGCAGGGAAGATGTGTGATGACAGTGTGGTGTGTGGTGGCAAGAAGCCATGTTGTCAGCGCCCTAGGAAGGGCTGGGGCAGATCTGCTGGAGGAGGTCATGCCTGCCAGCCATGTAATCTAAGACCCTGGGGAGCTGGGTTCAATTTCCTGCCCTCCCAGAAGGCGAGCAAGGCTGACTTGCTACCAGCCTCGTTCCCACTGGGCTCCCACCCACTCCCAGAACCCTCCCTGAGCTAGGTCCCCCTGAGCCTGGCTTCCCAAACCTGCAGGTGTCCTACTACAACCAGGCCACCCCGGGCGTTCTCAACTACGTGACCACCAACGTGGCCGGCCTCTCCTCTGAGTTCTACACCACCTTCAAGGCTTGCGAGCAGTTTCTCCTGGACAACCGGAATGATCTGGCCCCCAGTCTCCAGACCCTCTAGATGCCCTCAGTGGCCACATCCTGCCCACCCCCACTCCATCCTGCTCCCAAGGACTCACAGTGCCTGGAGAAAGGCAAAGGCCTTTATTTCTTCCTGCCTCCCCAGGGGCGGCCTCCGTCCTGAGGTCCGCTGGCCCACCACCCCAGGTGCTCAGTTTCTGCCAACGTCGGCCAGCAAGTTCTTGCGGTACCCCTGAGGCAGCCTGTAGTAGACTCGGGTCCTGTCCACAGCCCTGGCTGCCAGCAGCACTGCCCTCACAGAGGCATAGTCGCCCCCAGCTGGGCTATGCTCCACTGTGACGGTGGCCCGGGGGGAGGAGGCCAGCAGCCTGGCTATGGCTCTGGCTGTGCTGTGGCCTGGTGACATGGCTGGCATCTGGAAGGACACAGGTTGCCAGAGCTCCTGGCACAGCTCTAGCATATCTGTGAGCAGCTGTTCCCTATAGCCACTGCCCAGTACCTCCTCAGGCCAGCCTGGTGCCACAGTCACGTGGGGGAAGACCTCAGCCACAGCTGTAAGTAGATCTCTGCCAGCCACATGGCCAGGGACCAAAAAACTCCTGTGGGAGATTTTGGCCCCCACCCACACAGGTGAATGCAAGAGGCCAAGGCTGGAGAGGCGTGCCAGCAAGGCCAGGGATGGCCGGAGGGCTGCGGGCTCCGCTATTTGCAAATGGACACCCCAGTGTCGGGAATGTGTGGCCAGCTGCTGCAGGCAGGACTCCAGCGTCAGGATGCTGCCACTTGGAGCACGAACGATGGGCACGGGGTTCTCAGCCACAGTCCCCTCAAGACCAGTGTTCAGCAGGACCATGCCTTCTGTGTCTGGAAGAGGCAGCAGAGGCAACAGTGTTTAGGATTTGGGTTATGCTAGGGTGTTAGAGTCCCTTGCTAAAGGGGCAGTGGGAGTTCTGGGGGTCTCCAAGGGCCTTGCCTCTCTGGAATCTGTCAACCCAGTTTTGGGCTCCAGGTGGATGGGTTGCTTTATAAATGTGCCTGGTGCATGAGAAACTCTTGCTTCAGCTCTTGGCCGTTAACTGTGACTCAGCCTGGGGGCCAGTGCCGGCCTTGCCCACAGCACCATGGCTGGGGACTGGTCTGAAGGCCAGGAGCCCTGTGCTCTTCACACCACTGTACTCCCTCTCCCTCTCCTGCAACCCTGCCCCACCTTGCCTCCAGCGCATGGTATAAATAAACGCGTATTGCCATGGCAACAGAGACCGGAGGTACCCACCCCAAGCAGAAGACACCCTTGCAGATGAGCTAGGAGCGCCAAGGCTGAAGGGAGACCTTACCTGGGAGGGTCACCGTTGCTGTTTTACCGCTGCCCCGGATGTCGGGAACCAGCCACTCCACGTTCAGCCCATCACCCCCGGGCAGCTGGAGAAGAGGGATCAGGCTGCCCCCTGTATAGTACATTCGTTTCCGTGTGGCATTCACTGTGGGGCCCCAAATCACTAAGGTGAAGTGGCTGCCGTTCATGGAACACCTGTAGGCTGCAGCTCTACAGGCATCCTCGCTAAACCTCCTGGCACCCTGCCAAACAGCTCTAATTTCCTTGTTTTGTAGACTGCAAGAAGTGACTTGTCCAAGGTCCTATAAGCAGTGAGCAGAATTGCTGGGAGTGGAACCTGCTGAGACCAGATCTGCCTGGCCCCAGAGCTGGTATCCTTCCCCGCTTGCTTAGGTGGTTCCTGCTTAGTTGGCAGGAATGCTGAGTCTGATGGGGCCCCTTTGAGATGGCTTCACTGTGGCTCTCCTGGGTTCGGGGACAAGGGAATGAGGGGTTTGGGTGGTAGCATCTGATCACTGCGCAGTGAATACAGTGGAGGTCTCTGAAACATTAGAGTAACCCACAGTGGAGCCGTGTACCAAAATAATATGGGGTTTGGAATTTGCTGGGTTCCTACCTGCTGGACCACATACAAGCCGAGTGACTGTACAAATCCCTGAACTGTTCTGAGCCTCTGTTTTTCTATAATATGGATGTGTGCGCCAGGCACAGTGGCTCACGCCTGTAATCCCAGCACTTTGGGAGGCTGAGGTGGGCGGATCACCTGAGGGCAGGAGTTTGAGACCAGCTTGGCCAACATGATGAAACCCTGTCTCTACTAAAAGTACAAAAATTAGCTGGTGTGGTGGTGCAGGAGAATCGCTTGAACCCAGGAGGCAGAGGCTGCAATGAACCGGGATCATGCCACTGCACTCCAGCCTGGGTGACAAAGCCAATCTCCGTCTCGAAAAAAAAGCAATAAAAATAAAATGGATATGTGAAGCTTAGCATACCATACCAGGGCCTGGTACCCAAAATGCATCCTCCTCCTGCCCCGCCCCGGCTCTCCCCCTTCTGATATCGCTTCCTCCCAGCTCTGCTCCAGTACCTGCCAAGTGCTGCCCCATGCAGAATCCAGTCCACACCACCCTTCCCAGTTCCTCTCCTTACAGGCCAGCTGCTTGAACTGCGACAGGAAAGGCTCAAAGATGTCATAGTAGACTTGGTGGACAGCAGTGTTGTCCCGGACGTAGAGCAGGTCCTCCACCAACATGGGGTCCGAGGCAGCTTGCCACAATGTCAGGCTATACCTGGGGCCACCAGAGCTGGCTCAGTGCCCGTCTGGGCCCAGCAAGACCCTCAGCCCCATTCCTGTGTCAGAACTGGATGTCAGCTGGGCCCAGGGTAGCACATCTGTCCTCCAGTCGCCCACCCGACACTTCTCCCTGAGTCCTACCCCTTTCCAAGGGCAATAGCCAGAGGGAATTCAGGAAAGATGACTGAAAGCAGAGCCCAGGAGGGAGGGGGAGCCTGTCCTGCCTCCTCACTTGCAGTGTCTGTTTCTGAGTCCTGTCCTAGGAAAGGGGCAGGACAAACTGGAGAGGATGTGGAAGGGCGGGTCAAGCATGAAGAGGGGAGGGGCAGCTTTGGGAGTCCTGTAGGGAGCAACTAAGGAAAGTAGGGGGATAGTGGGGATAGGGGAGTCTCTAAATTCCTATAGGGCTATCCTAGGGCAGGGGTTGAAGGCACAATATATGTTGCTCTAGGGCTACCTGGCTCCTGCTGGAGGAAGCTGTGGGGAGACAAATTGTGTCTTGGTATAAATATTTTCTGGGGGGCAGAGAATTACCCACCAATGAAAGGGCTCCCTCAGGAGGTAGTGAGTAGCCCATCACCAGAGGTATGCAAGCAGAAAGCAGGGACTCTGTAGAGGGCATGAGCACCAGCAGGAGTTGGACCATATGACCTTTAAGACCCTTCCATCCATGACTGGGTGTGGTGGCTCATGCCTATAATCCAGCACTTTGGGAGGCTGAGGTGGGCAGATCACGAGGTCAGGAGATCAAGACCATCCTGGCTAACATGGTGAAACCCCGTCTCTACTGAAAATCCAAAAAATTAGCCAGGCGTGGGGAGACACACCTGTAGTCCCAGCTTCTTGGGAGGCTGAGGCAGGAGTGTCACTTGAACCCGGGAGGCAGAGGTTGAAGTGAATTGAGATGGTGCCACTGCACTCCAGCCTGGGTGACAGAGCGAGACTCCATCTCAAAAAAAAGACCCTTCCATCCATGAGCATCTGGGTTCTTGCTGGAGGCATCAGCACCTCCAGGAGGGTGGGGTGGGTTTGGTGGTTTTCACCTCTCAGATTGGCTCAGCAGCCAGCTGAAGTGGGGCCAGGAGGCCCGCACCATGGAAGACCGTACAGGGAAGGTGACCCTCTGGGGTACCACTCCCACCAGCTCATGCATCTTCTCCACCATGGCTCGGGTGTACGTCCTGTTTGGGAACATGGCCAGGTAGAGGGTGGTCCAGCCTGGAGACAGGGTGACCTTGGGATACTTCTCCTGGACCAGGGCCAGGAACCTGCAAAAAAATTGGAGATGTTGGTCTCATGGAGCTGCGCCGGCCCCTTCCTCTCCTCTGGATTCTCGTCACCGTGCTAGGGACTGGCAGGGCCTATTGGATATGTGATAAGGGTGGAAGCAGAGTCCCAAAGAACAGAATGGCTTGTTTTGGGTCCCATGAACTGGGCATGGACTTTGGAGTCAGGGAAGTCTGGGTTCAGATCCTGATTTTGACCTTGGACAGGTCACTCAGCCTTGTAGACATCATCCCCTCTAGCAGGGCAGGCTTCTTAAACATCCCCTTCTAGACACGAAACTGACTCAGTCCCTGCATGTGGGAATCTGCGCTCTGCCAGCTGTGAGCCTTTGAAGTTTCTCAGGTTTTCTTTAAAAAATTTCTCTCCTTCCCAGCCTGGGCAACACTGTGAAACCCCATCTCTACTAAAATACAAAAAATTAGCTGGGTGTGGCGGCTTGCTCCTGTAGTCCCAGCTACTCAGGAGGCTGAGGCAGAACTGCTTGAACCCGGGAGATGGAGGTTGCAGTGAGCCTCTGCATTCCAGCCTGGGCAACAGAATGAGACTCCGTCTCAAACAAAAAAAAGACTTCCTCTCTCCTCTCCCCTCCCCTCGCCACCCCTCCCTCTCTTCCCCTTGTATCTTTATCTCTTTCTCTTTCTCTCTTTTTCTTTCTATACGGGGTCTCACTGTGTTGCCCAGGCTGGTCTCAAACTCCTGAGCTCAAGGGATCCGCTCACCTTGGCCTCCCAAAGTACTGGGATTATAGGTGTGAACCACCATGCCCAGCCTAAAATTTTATTTGAACTTGGCCTTGATGAAAATATTTTATTTTTTTCTTTGTACTTTTCTTCTTTAAAAGATGCAAATTTTAACAGGCAAATTATGTTGTCACCTACTGCCCACCAAAAAAAATCCTACTGAGTAAAATTAGCACTCCAAGAAGACAGGTCATATTTATCTTGGGCCATTGATTACATTTTCCAAAGTGCTACTTTTGGAATGCACCTCAGCTTGAGAAGCACAATGATAAGTGCTAGATGGATGGTTGCTGGCTGGCTGGATGGGTGGAGGGAGAGATGGATGAGAAAGAGCCTGCAGCGTAGAATCAGAAGGCCTGGATTTGAATCTTTGCTCTGCCACTTATTAGACTTAAGCAGGTCTTTTCAATTCTATAACATAGTCCCTGTGTTAGTAAAATGAAAATAATAGTACTTACCTCATTTTTGTAAGAGTTAAATGGTGTTCTTTAAGTAAAGTACTTAAAACAGTGTCTGGGACACATAATAAACATGTAACAAATTGAGATCCTTCTCTTATCAACTTTCTCATCTGCAAAATGGGGAGAAAGCTCTAACCTGGCAGTGCTACGTCAGGATCAGATCAAAGACAGGCTCTCCTCTCATGTGGTCTCTTTGTAAACTGTAGAGCATGTGCAACTACTGCATGTGAGGGCTGCCAGCAGCGGTGCTGGAATTCATGGGGGCTGGGGAAGGAGTCAAGGTTTTAGACTTTTCTAGCAGGTCAAAGCCTGTGCTGGTCACTGGGGAATATAGGGAAGGACTTGGCCCGGTCTGCCCTCCGGGAGTTCAGTGTAGTAGGGTGACAGACCTGTGAACCCACAGTGACAGCTCCATGAAGTCAGGCTGTGTTAGGAGGAAGTGTGGGGGTTGAGGGGCCCAGAGGAAGTCCTGCAGCAGCCTGGGATGTCAAGGAAGTTTCTGGAGGAGATAACTGGCCAGGGGCTTGTCAGGAAAGAGGGGAGAGGCACTGGAGGCAGAGGGAATAGCTTGTGCAAAGGCTCAGGGGTGAGACTATATAGCGTGACTGGAGACAAACTCAGAGGTCCCCAAGATCCTCACGTTGTGGTGGGTGTTGACAGAAGAAGGCTGGACACAGCTGGGACAGAGAGGCGAACACTCACTGTGTGGCATTGACCTCAAGTGAGATGGGCACGTTGGGGCCCTTTAAGATATCAGCGTTGATCCACACAGGCTGCTGGACTTTGCCTTCCTCTGTCAGCCGCCGCAGGAGGTCCAGGGAGGGGCCCACGGCCTTGATGTTCTTAAAGTCCAGTTTGATGCCTGTGGGGAAAGGGACAAGGGCTTGGGGAATTGGCGAAGGAACCAGGAAGATGTGACTCCTTGGGCAGAAAGACCACATCCCTCCAGGGTGTGAGGAAAGCCTGTCGAAGAGGCAGAGCTAACTGAGAGAAGAAGGGCCTGCCTCTAGACAAGTTCCCATCTCCTCCTAGAGGCCAGGTAAGGACTTGGGCCTGCGGCTGCTGCAGCTGGGAATCAGGTCTCTGCTGAAAACGGGCTGGGGTTCTAAAGCAGGTTCAGAGGGCCCTAAACCACCAGAGTCTGTAGGGAGGTCATTCAGCCTCTGGAAGGTGCATTTGAGTAGAGGAGGGAATCTCTGCTGAGAAGGGACCTGGTACTTTTCAGTGTGGTGAGGAGATGAGGCTGGCAAGATACAGCGGGATATTGAAAGCCAGGCCGAGATCACACTTTTTCCTGAGGACCATGGGCAGCCATGGAGGGTTAAAGCAGAGGAATGACACGACAAAACTGGTGTTTTGAAAAGATCCCTCAGGTGTGTGTGGTCATGGTGGTCAAGGGAAGTCTATAGGGGCTGAATTTGGGTCAGGAAGCCAGTGAGAGAGTTACGATGTGGCTGCGACTAGATGGAGGCAGGGTTAGGGGTTAGGATTGGTGGAGGCAGCAACTGAGTGGACATGAGGATAAGGGAGGGAGAGAGAGCCGTTACAGTGAGGACTGTACGGAGGGGAAGGGTGGGGCTTGGCTTTGAGCTTGTTACGTTCAGTTCTGTGAATACAGGGGGAAGCACTCTGAGCATGCATGGCACCTTGCAGTTCGCGCTGTACTGCTCGCTGTCCACCCTGTATGTCCAAGAGAGAACACCATGATGTGCACTGACGCGTTCCCCACCTCGCTAAGTCCTCACGGAGCCAGGGCGTCTATAGCACCGTGATGAGAAAGTCAAGGCAATGACACCTCGTGTCAGGACTGGACTTGCTTCCCAGAGAGGGATCTCTGCACATGCTGCCCCAGGGCCAGAGGGCTTGGGGCTGGGGAGGGTTTCTAGAGGGGCCCTTACCCTTCTGGGAAGAGCCCAGCACAGCATCCAGCCACTGCTCCAGTGTGTTGTCACTGTAGATAGCCGGCGGATGTGCCATGATGGGAACTCCTGTCTCATTGGCTGTGCCGAGCCCTTCTACGTTGACGTCAGCCTCCAGGACTGTTACGTTGCCTGCAGAAGAGGCGAAAACTCAGTCAGTTCTTTTTTTTAAAAAAAGAAAACTTTTTTTCTCATCATAAAAGCATTACAAGTTACAGAACATTTGAGAAATACAGAAAAGTGGAAGAAGAGGAAAATACTCACCCACATTTCCATCATAGTTTACATTTTGATGGATTTTTCTTCCATTTCTTTTGTTTTGGGAGATGAAGTCTTGCTCTGTCACCCAGGTTGGAGTGCAGTGGTGCAATCTTGGTTCAATACAACCTCCACTTCCTGGGTTCAGGCAATGCTTCTGCCTCAGCCTCCTGACTAGCTGGGATTACAGGCATGTGCCACCACACATGGCTAATTTTTGTATTTTTAGTAGAGACAGAATTTTACCCTATTGGCCAGGCTGGTCTTGGAACTCCTGACCTCAAGTGATCCCACCCACCTCCAATTCCCAAAGTGCTGGGATTACGGGCGTGAGCCACTGTGCCTGGCCCTATGCATAGTTTTCACACAGTTGAGACTCTACTGCGTTTATAATTTTTTATGTTTTTCTTTCAACATTATGACAAATTTCCAGTCTTTTTCATACATCTTATTAGAGCAAACAGGGCAAAGAAACAAAAGGTTCCAGAGCCCTGGTTTAGGGTGTTCACTGACCATCCCCATTCCTGAGATGCTTCGGGAGTTTCTGATTTTTTTGCTAATTAGGCTTGCTATATTCTCCCTGTCTGGTCTTGAACTCCGGGGCTCAAAAAATCCTCCCACTTTGGCCTTCCAAAATGTTGAGATTACAGGTATGCACCTCAGTGTCCAGCACACAGGGTCATTTTTTTTTTTTTTTTCGAGACAGAGTCTTGCTGTGTCACCCAGGTTGGAGTGCAGTGGCGCAACCTTGGCTCACTGCAACCTCCGCCTCCTGGGTTCAAGCAATTCTTCTGCCTCAGCCTCCTGAGTAGCTGGGATTACAGGCGTGTGCCACCATGCCCAGCTAATTTTTTTGTATTTTTAGTAGAGACGGGGTTTCACCGTGTTGGCCAGGATGGTCTTGATCTCTTGACCTGGTGATCCGCCTGCCTCGGCCTCCCACAGTGCTGGGATTATAGGCGTGGGCCACCGCGCCCGGCGTAGGGTCACTTTTAAAGCCCTTGTTATCAAATTACTTTCTGGAAAAGTTGTTCTGATTCCTGTCCCTGCCTGAAGTGCACAAGGTTCCCATCTCACCGCATCATTACCAGCACTGAGTTATCTTTTAGCTTCACACAGTTAACCCTATCAGGCAGATATCTTCTGATTTCTGCCTTCGAGAATTCAGCTTAGTAGGGAGCTTAGACCCTTCTAATAGGAAGCCATCTCTAGAAAACCATGCTCAGGGCACTCGCACTTGGAGAGTGTAGTGGAGGAGAGAGGGGTCGCTTTCGGCCCATGAAGCATTGATGCCAGAGGGGCCTTTCCTCCTGCTTTCTCCAGGGCTCCTGACCATTCTTCTCACCGCTAGCACTGCTTCCCTGCAAGTCTGTTCTCTATAGAGCCACCAGAGTGAGTGTCCTAAACACGTAGCTGATCATGTCACTTCTTGTTAAAAAGTGCCGGAAAACCTGCCCATTGCTCTGAACATGAAGCCCAAACTCAGCTGGGCATGGTGGCTCACACCTGTAATCCCAGCAATTTGGAAGGCCAAAGTGGGTGGATCACCTGAGATTGGGAGTTTGAGACCATCTTGACCAACATGGAGAAACCCCGTCTCTACTAATACAAAATTAGCTGTGCACAGTGGCTCATGCCTGTAATCCCAGCTACTCGGGAGGCTGAGGTAGAAGAATCATGTGAACCTGGGAGACAGGTTGCAGTGAGTCAAGATAGTACCATTTCACTCCAGCCTGGGCAACAAAAGCAAAACTCTGTCTGAAAAAAAAAAGCAAGCAAGCAAGCAAGAAAGAAAAGAAACCCTAACTCCTTATTACAGTCTTTTTCCAATTCTGTCTCATGTTCCCCTCTCTCTCTTTCATCCTCTGAGTTCGAGGCACCCCGCCTTCTCCATCTCCCAGGGACTGTAAAAAATTCATGTTCTGATCACTAGGTCTGCAGGAGGGCCTGAGATTCTGAATGTTTTATTTTGAGATGGAGTCTCACTTTGTCACTCAGGCTAAAGTGCAGCAGTGTGATCTCGGCTCACTGCAACCTCCACCTCCCAGGTTCAAGCGATTCTCCTGCCTCCGCCTCCCAAGTAGCTGGGACTACAGGTGTGCACCACCACCACGCCCAGGTGTTTTTTTGTATTTTTAGTGGAGACCGGGTTTCACCATGTCAGTCCTGACCTCAGGTGATCCACCTGCCTTGGCCCCTCGATGTGCTGGGATTACAGGCATGAGCCACTGGGCCTGGCCCAAGATTCTGCATTTTCAACACACTCCCCAGGGATGCCCATGCTGCTGTCCATGGACCACATGTTGGGTAGCAAGGCTTTAATTTGTTTTGTCTCCTCATCTCTGGGCTGTTGCCTGGCAACATTCTTCTCTCAACTTTACTACCGCACCTCCTGCTCATCCTTTAGTGTTGGTTTAAAAAAATAACTAACTTCCGGCCGGGTGCCATGGCTCATGCTTGTAATCCCAGCACTTTGGGAGGCTGAGGTGGGTGGATCACGAGGTCAAGAGATCGAGACCATCCTGGCCAACATGGTGAAACCCTGTCTCTACAAAAAACAACAACAACAAAAAAACAACTTCCAGGCTGGGCAAGGTGGCTCACACCTATAATCTCAACACTTTGGGAGGCTGAAGTGGGCGGATCATCTGAGGTCAGGAGTTCAAGACCAGCCTGACCAATATGGAGAAACCTACTAAAATACAAAATTAGCCGGGTGTTGTGGCGCATGCCTGTAATTCCAGCTACTAGGGAGGCTAAGGCAGTAGAATTGCTTGAACTTGGGAGGCAGAGGTTGTGGTGAGCTGAGATTGCATCATTACACTCCAGCCTGGGTAGTAGGAGCAAAACTCCGTTTCAAAACAAACAAACACTTATTCAGCCGGGTGCAGTGGCTCACGCCTGTAATCCCAGGACTTTGGAAGGCCTAGGCGGGTTGATCACTTGAGGTCAGGAGTTGGAGACCAGCCTGGCTGACATGGTGAAACTTTGTCTCTACTAAAGATATAAAAATTAGCCAGGCATGGTAGTAGGCACCTGTAATCCCAGCTACCTGAGAGGCTGAGGCAGGAAGAATCACTTGAACCTGGGAAGTGGAGGTTGCAGTGAGCCGAGATCATGCCATTGTACTACAGCCTGGGGGACAGAGCAAGACCTTGTCTAAAAAAAAAAAAAAAAATCCTGGAAAAAATAAAAAATGAAAAAGAAAAAAAAATGCTGAGTGCAGTAGCTTCGCCTGTAATCCCAGGGAGGCCGAGGTGGGCCAGATCACCTGAGATTGAGAGTTTGAGACTAGCCTGACCAACATGGAGAAACCCCATCACTACTAAAAATACAAAATTAGCTGGGCATGGTGGTGCATGCCTGTAATCCCAGCTACTCAGGAGGCTGAGGCAGGAGAATTGCTGGAATCTGGGAGGTGGGGGTTGTGGTGAGCTGAGATCGTGCCATTGCACTCTAGCCTAGGCAACAAGAATGAAACTCTGTCTCAAAAAAAAAAAAAAAAAAAAATTGCTTCCTCAAGGAGGAGGCAGCCATCCCCAGGTTAAGTTAGGCCAGTCTGCTTCTTGCTCACAATGAAACCTGCCTTCTCCCTTTCGTGTTCAGCCCTGTGTCGTGTGATTGCTCTTTCAGCATCAGCCTTCCTAAGTATAAGCTCTGTGAGAGCAGGATCCGGGTCTGAATTGGCCATCACTTGAATTCCCAGTGCCTGGATGCTAGCAGGCCTAAAAGAGATGTTTCAAAAATGGCTGGCTGGCCGGCCGTGGTAGCTAACACCTGTAATCCCAGCACTTTGACAGGCCGAGGCAGACAGATCACTTGAGGTCGAGAGTTCGAGACCCGCCTGGCCGACATGGAGAAATTCCATCTCTACTAAAAATATAAAAAGTAGCCGGGCATGGTGGTGGGTGCCTGTAATCTTAGCTACGCGGGATTACAGGAAGCAGAAGAATCACTTGAACCGGGAGGCAGAGACTGCAGTGAGCTGAGATCACAAGAGTGCACTCCAGCCTCGGCAACAGAGCAAGATCCAGTCTCAAAAAAAAAAAAAAAAATCTCTCTTCACCTTAAAAGTTGTGACTTGCCTTCCAGAGGGCTGGAGGCTGACTTGCTTGGGGGTGAGAAGTGAAGAAGGAGCAAGAGATGAGAGGAAAGGATTGGTTTCCTGTGGCCACAGCATGGTCCTCGGGGAGCCACAGCAGCAGGGAAGGGGACATGCAGTCACCGAGCCCTCTACCCTCCACCCTCCCGCCTCAGGCCAGCTTTACCCATCTGCAGCAGAGCACGTGGCTAAGTACAGACCCTGAATGGACACTGCTGACTTCTAGTCCCTGCCCTGACACTTTTCAGCTGTGTGATCTTGGGAAGGTTATTTGACCTCTTTGTGCCTGTTTTCTCATCTACAAAAATTAAATAATAAAATATCCCTGGTTAGGCATTCACTAAGTGTTAATTATTTATATGGAGTTGCTTGCTTAACTAGTATAAGGGGCCATCTGGTGTGTTTCTGTGGCATCAGCATAATTATTAATAATGACCTCGAAAGAGTCCTACTTTGGTTGATATGAGCATTCTACCAACCCTCTGACCCCAGTTTTGGGGTCTGAAATGGAAGGAGTTTGCTTGAGCCGTGGTTCTCAAAGTGTGACCCTGGGGCCCGCAGTTGGTGTCTTCTGAAATGTGCCCAGGTTCAAGGACAGGACTGTTTCCTTTATCTTTTATAGCTTCTGCTTTAAAGTTCACCAGCATGTTCATGAACATTATCTGCTGAGCTTCCCAAAGGCCCTCAAGGAGAGCGTCACGCAGTGGCTTGGAGTGTGCACTCTGGGGCTGACAGCTCTGGGCTCCAGTGTTGGCTTAACTGCTTTCAGACAGTGTAACCTTGCCTGAGTTGCCTAACTTTTCTGAGCCTCTGTTTTTCTCCTGTGAAATGGTACCCATGAAACGGGTTGCAGGGTAGTCCCGGGAGAACCTGTGTGTATAATGTGCACATGGGGAGCCTTGGCCGATTGGTTACTTTAACCAATTTTGAATCTGAGGCTCAGCGGAGTTATACAACCTGCTCAGGTGCTCACTGTTTTTTAGTAGTACTGGGCCTCAAGTGCAGATTTCTGGCTTGAGGCTTTGAAGGCAAAGGCCTCCTTAGAGGCTGGTTCCTGACAGGTCGAGGAAGGAGTAGCTGGGAGAGAGGGCAGTATAGTCATGACTTTGGAGTCAGACGTGGTTTAAATCTAGGCTCAAAGCTTAGCTACGCAACCCTGAGCCGCTCACTCAATGCCTCTGATGGAGTCAGACGTGGTTTAAATCTAGGCTCAAAGCTTAGCTACGCAACCCTGAGCCGCTCACTCAATGCCTCTGAGCCCCTACTTCCTCATGCGGAAAGGCGTGCAAACAGCTGTCATGCCACCACAGTCCTCCTTCTCTCCCTCTGTCTTCGCCATCCCCTTCCCTGGCCTGCCCCAGTCTTAGCAGCTGGACTTACTGTCCAAGGCAGCTGCCATGGCTTTCTTGCTGTTGGCTGCGTGGTACCAGGTGACCTCCAGGGCATCTCGGCGGCTGATCTGGCCCAGGCTCAGCAGGTAGTCCAGCATGTCGGCATCGGGGCTGCAGGCCTCCAGTTCACAGCCTGGAAGGAATGCAGAGGGGCTGTTAGTGTCTATCCTCGCCCCAGCCCAAGACTCCTGTTTGTTCATCCCATGACCCTCCCTGTGACCAATACTCCATCTGGCAGAGGAACGGTGAGGCTGAGACTCGCTGGTGCTATAATAGGGGGAAAGTGAGTGGGCTTCTGGGACCCAAGGAGGCCTCAGTACCAGCCTGGGGCAGTCAGGAAAGGGGGGCAGGTTCACAGAGAAGGGAACACTTAAGGAAGACCTTGAAGGGTGGGTGTAAATTTCACAGAAGAGGGGGAATGGGTTATTCCAAGCAGAGAAAAAGCAAAGGCTTGGCTTCAGGAGAGCGCAGTTGCCTAAAGGAAGAGCCATTGGCCTGGTAGAGATAGAACACAGAAGTGGAATGTGGGAACGTTGGAAGAGGGGGCCGGATACAGTGGTTCATGCATCAAAGTGCTGTAATCTCAGCAATTTGGGAGGCTGAGGCAGGTAGATCACCTGAGGTCAAGAGTTCAAGACCAGCCTGGCCAACATGGTGAAACCATGTTGCTACTAAATATACAAAAATTAGCCGGACGGACATGGTGGCAGGAGCCTGAGGCAGATGAATCACTTGAACTCAGAAGGTGGAGGTTGCAGTGAGCCGAGATCATGCCACTGCCCTCCTGCCTGGGTGATAGAGAGTGGGACTCCATCTCAAAATAAATAAATAAATGGAAGTAAAAGATTGGAAGAAGGCTGAGATCAGGTCGTGAATGGCCTTGAACTTTAGTAAAGGAGTTGGTGTGTGCTGAGGGCAGCGAGTGAGGGCTGCTTGGCAAGATCTGGGCTGCAGAACTAACACGAGCTGACCAAAGCAGGCAGAGGGACCTTGCAAGAAGGGTCCGGAAGGAGACCTCTAAGCTTCTCTGAGGGCAGGGCTGGGAGGATAGAGAGGGCAGGGCCGGGAGGATAGAGAGGGCAGGGCCGGGAGGATAGAAGGCGGAGGGAAAGGCAGAGCCCTCAAGGCTCAGGACTGAGGAGGACAGCCATGAGGCAGGGGCAGGGGGCCTTCTCCGAGGTCCCTGTGTGAATGGAGGAGCCTTTCACAGAGAGTCCTTCACAGCGAGCACCTGTTGGGGAGAGGGATGAGCTCAGCCTGGTCTGCTGAGTTTGAGGTTGCTTGTGTGACTCCCAAGAAGGGCACAGAAGGGAGGTCTGGGCTGAAGGCCAAGATCTGATATTCTTCAGGCAACTGAAGAAGGGAAAAAAAGTTAAAGGGGGCCAGGTGTGGTGCCTGTACTCCCAGCACTCTGGGAGGCCAAGGAGGGTGGATCACCTGAGGTCAGGAGTTTGAGACCAGCCTGGCCAGCATGGCAAAACCCCGTCTCTATTAAAAATACAACAAAAGTAGTCAGGAGTGGTGGTGCACACTTGTAATCCCAGCTACTTGGGAGGCTGAGGCAGGAAAATCGCTTGAACCCAGGAGGTAGAGGTTGCAGTGAGCTGATGTTGCGTCACTGCACTCCAGCCTGGGTGACAGAGTGAGACTCCACTTAAAAGGAAAAAAACCCATAAAAAATTAGCTGGATGTGGTGGCACACATGCCTGTAATCCCAGCTACTTGGGGGGCTGAGGCAGGAGAATCGCTTGAACCAGGAAGGCAGAAGTTGCAGTGAGTCGAGGTTGCACCATTGCATTCCAGCCTGGGCAACAAGAACGAAAATTCCCTCTCAAAAAAAAAAAAAAAGTTAACGGGACTTTCTGCTGGGGATGAAGTCACATAGGGTTGGGGGATGGAAGAGACAAAGAGAGCTGTGGATGGGGAATGACGCTTGATGGGGATGAGGGATCAGGAAGAGCTGGTTGGCGGGCCCGCGGTGGCTCACGCCTGTAATCCCAGCACTTAAAAAAAAAATGCTGATCAGAGCTGAAGGTGGGGATAAGGAGCGAGCAATGGGGGAAGCCACTCAGGATGGCACTGGGGGAGGCACCTACCTGGCTGCCGCAGGGTGATGGCAAGGACTATCGTGACAACGACCACCACAGACACACAGGTAATGCCTGCAAACACCCACTTGCCCCAATTCTTCGATAAGTGCTCCCTGCAGGCCATGACGACGCTTTCTGGGGAGTGTCCCCAACTCCAGGCAGGCCAGAGTCCCCAAGGCTCCCTGCAGCTGGGATCCTGTGGGAGGCAGGAGCTCCCAGCAGCACCTAATTCTCCACCAGGCCTGGTCTGCTCTGCAGCCCCGGAATGTCCCCGACTGGAGATAAGCCCTGAAGCCCCTCCTTCCTCCCCGCCCTACTCCTCTTCCCCACACCCTCCCGGCATCGCAACAGGCTAACCAGAAAATCTACCATCCTAAAATGACCTTTGAGCACAGTAAGAGGCAGCGGAGAATGTTGGACTGAGCTCAGACCCCTGACTGTCTGCCCCTGCCTGGGAGTCAGGATACCCAACCCAGCCCCTGTTGCTTTTCTGGAGTCCTGGAGCAAGTGTCCGATCCTCTGGGCCACATTTCCTGTGTAAAAGCCTAACATTCTGTTCTTTCCCTTTCTAACTCCAGGCTTTCTGCCCTGCCCTCAGGGAATCCTGCCTATCAGGCAAGGGTGGTGACAAAGACAGATTAGATCTGCCTAAGGGGCAAGACTGAATCTTCCTCTCATAGGAGATTATGGCTAATAGATGATCTACCTGGGATAGAAACTGATAGTCCTGGCATGCTGGCATGGGTGACTGCAGGCCAGTTCTGGGGCACCGAGTCCAGGGGGAAGGGGCTGAGTCACCAGAGGGAGTTCTGGGGGCCCTAGTATGGGAAGCAAGTTAGAGGCTGCCCTTGTTCTGAGGATCCTGGAATTTGAATGGGTCCAGGAATCACCCGTAATGTGTACAGAGACTTCAGTGTCTACAGGCTGGCCTCAGAGAGATCAAGCAGGGCCCCTGGTGGCTTTGATTTTGTGTGTGAAAGGGTGTCGAGAATGATGCCCGGGTGGGCAGATGTCAGGAACTGAGGGGTGGAGGGGCAGGGCGGGAGGGATTTTGGTCATGGGAGTTGTCGAGGGTCATTCCTGAGTCGATTCTCCTGCCTCAGTCTCCCCCAGGAGGGAACTAGATATGGAGGCCGTAGGCTCAGGACTGAGATCAGGGCCAAAGACAAGGGCATGAGCATCATTTTCTGGCCAAAGCAGAAAGAGAAAGGGATGGAGGCTGACTTCTGGGGATCACTGACAGGAAGACAGGTGGAGGAAGGGGCATCAGTAGAAGAGAGGGGACAGCAGAGGGTGGTGGGCGGTGTCAATGGGAAGGTCACTTCAAGAAGAAAGGAGAGGTCTGGAGATGGAGCCCAATAAGGACAGTAAGGGCTCCCTGATGCTGCCAGGACCGTTTCCCTGGATCAGTGGGGAGGGCAGCAGTCTGAGCAGAGCCTGTTTAGTGGGGGTGGGAAAGACCAGAGAGGCTGAAGGTACAGGAGGGAGAGGCTCTGGGCAAAGTGAGGATGGGAGCAGGAGGACCTGGCACTCAGGGGGTGCTATCCTGTAGGATGTGGGGAAGGATGGGCACTGTGAGTGGTGAGTCTGGGGGTGCTGGTTGAGAGGTGACATGGTGAAGAGAAACCATGAGGGAGAGGATAGGGAGGTTCTGTTGGCTGGTTGGGGCACGTGGCACATTTACAGGGATCCAAGGAGACCCAAGCTGTGGGCTGCTAGATGGACAGGACCCCATTCCACCTCCTCCCCACCATTGTACCTCCAGAAACGTGAGGCAGTGATGGCCTACTGTCCCCTCTCCTCTACTGATGCCTCTTCCTCCACCTGTCCACCTGTCAGTGGTCCCCAGTGGGCCACCTGAGGCAAAGCCAGCCCTGGAGCCCAGGCTCAATTCCCAGTTCTCAGAGCCTCTGGAGAGAGAGAGATCTAGTCTGTCTGGGCTTCTGGCTCATTCTCCAAATCAACTCAACAAACCTAGCAGCTGGCAGGAGCCAGTCCCTGGTGGGGTGTCAGGGTTGCTGGCTGGAATGGAGGAGGGTCAGTGCTGGGGGTCCTCTCAGGAGATAGTAAGGGGGTGGTAGACAAGTAGGAATATGTTTTGTGAGTCCCCTTTCTTAGGTGGGCTGCTTTCCCAGGCCACCCACTCTGGACTCCAGAATCCAAATAGTAATTGGGCCTCACCCAGATCCTTTCTGTAATAAGGCATGGAAGGTGTGTTAACTGGGATATTATTACAGCCACAAAAAGTTAACAAAATGACAGAAGCCACATCTTGAGTAACAATCACATATGCTTTTCCCTACAGTTAAAGTCTAGAGGAAGTTTCCATGTCAGAGCTGGCCATCATGCCAGATGTGGTGGCTCACGCCTGTAATCCCAGCACTTTGGGAGGCCCAAGTCGGGCAGATCATGAGGTCAGGAATTCAAGACCAGCCTGGCCAATGTGGTGAAATCCCATTTCTACTAAAAATACAAAAATCAGCCAGGCATGGTGGCATGTGCCTGTAGTCCCAGCTACTTGGGGGGCTGAGGCAGGAGAATTGCTTGAACCTGGGAGGTGGATTCAAGGTTGCAGTGAGCTGAGATTATTGCACCATTGCACTCCAGCCTGGGTGGCTGGGTGACAGAGCCAGACCCTGCCTAAAAAAAAAAAAAAGTCTAGAGAAACAACAAACCACCAAAATTATACAGTGTGGCCCCAGGGTTGCTCCCAAGCCCCATACTGGTAAGTCTCACCTAGTCTGGCTTGCATTTTTTTCTGCTTTTATTAGTATACTATTTGTGATTTCCTACAAAGTGCCCCACATTTTAATTTCATCTATGTGTCACACAATACTGCCAAATAGTTCTCATGTCCTTACGTTGTAGGCAAAGAAATCGAGGCTTGGAGAGGTCAGGACTTGTCCCACATCACCTCAATGTCAGGTTCAAATGCAGGTCGGGCTGACTGTGGGCCTATCTGCCTGACTTTATCCACCTGCTGGCCTCTTCCTGTTCATGCCCATTTACAACTGGACAGCCACATCTTCTGGCAAGAATATTTAACAGCAATGCTGGACAAATCTGTTTTCGAAAGAAAAATCAAGAACTTAGTTCTTACAGCCCACGAGGGCACCCCCTGCACAAACTATCCTCATTCTGGAAGCTGCTTATTTAGTGTTCGTGACACTCTTTGTGTGTGTGTGTGTGTGTGTGTGTGTGTGTGTGTGTGTGTGTGTGAGAGAGAGAGAGAGACAGAGTCTTGCTCCATCGCCAGGCACCAGTCTGGAGTGCAGTGGCAAGATCTTGGCTCACTGCAACCTCTGCCTCTCTGCCTCAGTCTCCAAGTAGCTGGGATTACAGGCGCATACCACCATGCTCGACTATTTTTGTATTTTTAGTAGAGATGGGTTTTCACCATGTTGGTCAGGTCATGGCCTGACCGCATGATCCACCTGCATCAGCCTCCCAAAGTGTGGGGATTACAGGCTTGAGCCACTGTGCCCGGCCAGAAGAAGCATTTCTAACAAGGGACATAGAGGCTGGGTGCGGTGGCTCATGCCTGTAATCCCAGCACTCTGGGAGGCTGAGGTGGGCAGATTACTTGAGGTCAGACATTTAAGACCAGGCTAGCCAAGATGGTGAAACCCCATCTCTACTAAAAATACAAAATTAGCAGGCTGTGGTGGCTCATGCCTGTGATCCCACCTACTAGGGAGACTAGGCAGGAGAATCACTTGAACCTGGGAGGCAGAGGTTGCAGTGAGCAGGAATTGTACCACTGCACTCCAGCCTGGATGACAGAGCAAGAATCTGTCTCAAAAAAAAAAAAAAAACCCAAAAAACAAAAAGCAAAACAAAACAAAACAAAAGAACATAGCTTCAATCCAAGCCTTAAGGAATTCTGGGCAGGGAAAACAGGCAGTTCATAGTCAACGATCCCAAAAGTCATAAGAAAATAAGGCACCAAGAGATGAAGTAAAACCAAGGGATGAAGTAAACAGCAAAATCAGACCTACGAAGTGTTCGGAATACAAAATTATCACACGTAAAATAACATGTTTATTTTTATTTTTATTTTTTTGAGACAGCGTTTTGCTCTGTCATCCAGGCTGGAATACAATGGTGCCATCGTGGCTTATTGCTGCCTTGACCTCCTTGGGGCTCAAGTGATGCTCCCACCACAGCCTCCCAAGTAGCTAGGACTACAGGTGTGCACCACCATACCTGGTTAATTGTTTTTCTTGTGGAGACAGGGTCTTAGTATGTTGCTAGGCTGGCCTTGAACTCATGGACTCAATCCATCCTCCCGCCAAGGCCTTCCAAAATGCTGAGATTAAGGTGTGAACTACTACACCCAGCCTGTTTACTATGTTTAAAGAAATAAAAAACCTGCCAGGCATGGTGGCTGATGCCTGTAATCCCAGCACTTTGGGAGGCCAAGGCAGGTGGATCATGAGGTTAGGAGTTTGAGACCAGCCTGGCCAACATGAGATGGGTGAAACCCCATCTCTCTCTACTAAAAATACAAAAATTAGCCAGGTGTGAAAAATTAGGTAGGTGGTGTGGTGGCAGGTGCCTGTAATCCCAGCTGCTTGGGAGGCTGAAGCAGGAGAATTGCTTGAACCCAGCAGGCAGAGGTTGCAGTAAGCGGAGATTATGCCACTGCACTTCAGCCTAGGCGAGAGAGAGACTCTCTCTCAAAAAAAAAAGGACAGAGAGGAGGCTTAGTGTGCATCTCATCAGAGTTGCACAAGGCAGAGAAAGAATGAGAAAAAAGCAATTTCTAGAAAATTGTTCAAAATTTCTGATCAACACCAAATATTCCAAATAGGAAAAATACAAAGAAATTCCTATGTATATGTGGCATGATATGAGTGTATAATACCAAAGTAAAAGATCTTATTTGCTTTTTATTAAAATTAAAAAAAATTTAAAATAGAGTCAGGGTCTCACTATACTGCCCAGGCTGGTCTTGAACTCCACCTCAAACTATCCTCCCACCACAGCCTCCTAAAGCGCTGGGATTACAGGCATGAATTGCTGCACCTGGCTCAAAGTAAAAGATCTTAGAAGCAGCCAGAAAAAATAGATTCAGGCCAGGCACGAATAGATTAATCACCAAAAAGGTGGCAGACTAACTTCTCAACAGAATCCACAGAAGGCAGAAGGCAGCGGAATATTCACTTTGATGTACTAAAATAAGATAACACTCTAGGCTCCTACATGCAGTAAAAATGTTTCAAGAATGACAATTATGATTTTTTTGCAAACTAAAGAAGTTTACTACTAAGAATTTTTTTTT